AAAACATTTGCAATTGCACTTGTGCATAATATTTCTCTGTAGGTTTTTTTTCCTTCACATAGTTTTTGTATGTATTTTCACTTGTTGGGCACTTAATTTCTATGACATAGTCATCACATATACCATCTGGTGTACCACCTATCATTATATATTCTTTGGATATGAATAAACCAGATTTTTGTATTTTAATATTAAATTTAACCTCTATTACTTTGCGTACAGTATCTTCTAATCTTCTTCCACGATTCATTGCAGGAGTATCAGGTAGTTTACCTCCCATAATTTGGGCAATTAAGCTCCTATCAGAGGTTTTGCATCTAATGACATCATGGGCTTTTGATGCAGTTATCCGCCCATATCGCAACTCAAACCATAATTTGTTTTGGTACTGGTCTCGTGTTGATTTTTCAATTTGCGTTAATATATGCTCGGTTAATAAAGAGCCAGCTTTTACCAAAAATTTTTCACAGTCCTGATATTTATATGTTAAGCACAGGTGATGCATTGAACACATTTCAACATCCTCACGGGTAAAATCTACTTGGTATTTCATCAATTACACATTCGTGATTTTTCTTTTCTTTGACTCTTTCAAAAAGTCACATAGCACCCTGGAATCTGGTATATAAGTCCGTTGACCTATGTTGGAGAGCTCCTTTGATGTAATACAATTTAAAGAAGTGCCTACTTTAGCTAGACGGGACTTTTTCCAGTAGCACTCAACAGAAGTACATGAAGGTTTTTCACTCCTGCGATGCACCCACATAATAAATGCTACAGCATGTTTGCAACCTTCTTGGGAAGCAGCACAATCATGACACTCAACACTCACTATTGCACTATTTTCTTCATCCACAATCATAGTGGCAGAGTATTGTTTGTTACGAACTTTATGTTCTGGGAAAATTTTGCACTTAACTGTGCATAGATTGGCATCTCTACGAAGTTGAACATATCCGACAGCATCATCTCCGTATGCCTGTCTTGAGGACCTAAAAAAAGTAAAAAAAATGTTTAATAAAAAAAACAACCCCAAAATATATCTTTCACCAAGTGAAAACGGGATAAATTAAAATAAATGAAAAAAGATAATTTTAATGTAAGTTGCCTATATATTAATAAATGACAAGATGTATTTATATTTTATGTAAATTGAAGCAAATAAAGAAAATATCTGTTTTACATGTATTTTAAGATTTAGTATACGAAATAACGTATACTAACGTATAGAAACGAAATACTATCAATATAAAAGATGTTTTTTAGGCCTGTCTATAAAAGTTGGGTTAAATATTTCGATCTTATAAATACCTATAACTATTATTCTGTATTCATTATCGGTTGATGAAATAACAATTGTTTGTATATTACTTACATTGAAATCTTCACATTTATGAATTCAGCAGAGTTGAAGTCACTATTTGTGGCAAAGAAATTGACCAAAGTAAAACAATCAATTCTCGGCAAATTCGAACCATTTGCCTTAATAAATCCAGTTTCCATGGTGTAAAAACTTCTTTCAAAACCTCTTAAATCGTTTTCGCAGATTTTGTAATTGTTATGAAGCAAATTTCGAAATATTACACAGAAATAAGTATAATCAACGAATTATAATGTAAATAACCTACAAAAGTAATAGCCGTTGACAGAAATGATCACAACCCGTGACGTCACGCATTTTGATTGGTGTTCGTCATCACGTGACTTCAGAATATTTTTATTATTAAATAAAAATTAAATTACTTTAATATAATGAAAGATATTGTGTTTTTAGCTTTTCTATTACGGAAAGTACCGTTTTGCGGGAAAATCATATTTTTATTTTAATATAGTCAACATCCCTATTGTTTGCTTATCTTCATTTACTAAATATGTTCCTCTAGAAAATGCTCTCAATAAAACCCATATGATATCTTTTATACATAAATCATTATGATCAGTTAAATTCAATTCTACAGAAGATCTTGCATTAGGAAATTTTGGAGGATTTGGTCTTTGAGGTTTGGTATAGTACAATAATTTTAAAAAAGGCTGATTATTACTCTGAATAGTTTTACAGTTTTGGCGCTCAATTGGTATCATATTTTCAATCGTCTCATTTGGTAATTAGTTTTGAAAAATAACCCTTGCCATTGCATGATAGGTGCCTTTTCCATCGCGAGTTTCGGTATTAATATCGACATTATCGTTACCCTCATGAATTAAGTGGCCACCAATTTGTCTATTTTTAATGCGAGGAGGTATGTAAACAGAAATGCTTTTTTGAATTTCTTGATTCGCTAAAGCGGTAAGAAAACATCGCAATTCATCATATGATAAACAAAAACCAAATGCATTTAAAATCTCAATGAGTGTTTTACTTCCAAAATCATGATGTAATTGTAAAGCTAGTCCATAATGAAATGACGTATTAATAAGTTTATTGTTTGGCCTTGAACAATAAATTATGCATTCACATAATGTTATCATGCGAGAGTATATTGGCATATTATTAACATTTATAATATAGCAATTATCAAAAGCATTTTTACATAAAAGATAACAAATAAATTTTTTTAGCTCTATAGGAATAAAATTGTTGGAATATTCCAATGCAATTTCATGGGGTAAAGGATATTGTTTAGACACCGATAATTTTGCATCTTTTGATATAATTTATATATTTTGGGTCTCAAATAATTTAAACTTACTAAATTAGAATAAACTAAATCTTCAACACTTGGCTCTGATAAAAATACCCAGGAACTTTTTGCTATTTCTTGTAATTTACCTTTTATAAAATTTGAACGAACAGTTGTATTGGAATTTAAAAACAATTTATATTTGTTGCAAATGACCATAAACGGTATAAATTCTCCAGATTCTATTTTTTCGTTATAAAAGTTAAATGTCAGTTTTGCTACTTCTGCGTGAGAATGTTTGTTTTCTTTTGATGACAACTTCTCATTATTCTCACATTGATCATTAAAATCAGTATTAGAATTAGCATTGAACTTACTTGATTTAAAGAAACATCTTCAGTATTCAATAAAGAAGTATCATCATAAACGTCGTTATTAGCATCGGTAAATGTATCAGTAACGTTTATGCAAGTATCAACACTGTTTTCACTACTACACAAATTTTTTGAAATAGCTCGCAAAACATTTTCACTGACATAATTTTGATAACAAGGATATGCATGGTAACGAGCGCCTATTTCAGACAAATCATGAGGTAAAGACAGTTTGTCTAGAAGAGGCGCATCTTATCTTATTGTAGTAGCATTAAAAACTCGTTGCATAACACCAGGTTGCAAACTTGCTTCTGTTAACTTTTTAATACCATTCTTTTTTTTTACTACCACAAATAAAGCACAAATTTTCCCAATAAAAACTTGCAATTTTGGATCTTAAGATTTTTTTATTTTCCAAAGTGTCGATTTGTTCAGAAGCTGATTTCCTTTTTTTCGACATTTTTATCACAATCCATACTTGAAAGTTATTAAAAATGATTTTTTTGTATGATAACATTTTTCATAATAATCAGAATCTTCCTTATATTTGCGAAAGCAACGACAATCGTTTGCAATCTCACAATAACTTTATATATGTTACGGCCAATAATGTAAATTGGACATTGACGTTAAAGACCAGGCATTATCGTGAATGTCCATTTTCCCTGGTTATTAACGACAATGCCCGGCCATTAACGACAATGACCATAGCTATTGGCCAATGTTGTAAAAAATATATCTTAAAATTAAAGTTTTCATCAATAACCGGTCAATAACGACAGTGGCCAGAAGCAAATGGCCAATGTTGATAAATAAATAAAATTATTCATGATGTATTATTTTTTATTTAAAACAACTTTTGAAGACTATTTTTCATTTTTGAATATTTGATCATTTTTATTTTGACAAGATAGTAAACCATGACATTTTGAGTTACAAATTTTATTGTTTGCACGACATGCACACTTATTATTTTTGCAACCACCTTTGCATTGGCAACGCTTGTAACCTTGGTTGCCTAATATGCTATTTTCTGCTGCAGCTTGTCTGAGAGTTATTTCCTTCTCTTTTATTGAATCAGTTATATTTTCCAATAAAACTAATTTTTCGCTACATGGATTAAACTCAGACCTTACGAACTTTTGTTTTAATACACCATTTTTCGTGCCTAAAATAATAAACATGTTGATATACCTAAATTAAATTCAAATAAATTGGGAACTTACAAAGCTTATAGAGACTATCTTCTACATTGGTAACCACAGCTAAAATATTACGAGGAGAACCGCGAGCTCTATCTACATCTGGAATTGGTACACGGACTGTTGTGCCCACTTCTACATCTTGATATTTATTACTTAAAAACTTAATCATTTTTGCAGCTTGTTTCTCCAACGATTCTCTACATCGCTTACGTTCGTTAATAATATTTTCTTGTTGTTCACAGTTATAGCAGATGCCAACCGTGTTAACTTTTTCCCCAAGCGGTAATATTATGGAGCACTGGTTACAAATAATTCTGTCTTCGTAAACTACAACACGAGTTAAACAAAGCATTGAAAATAAAAAATTATTATTTTATAAATATAAATTACTATTATTATAAAGATATTAAAAAACGTACCGTTTTCTTTGTCTGAATCTATTAATTCTTGAGAATTGGTATTTATACCTGATTCATTTTTTGAATAATTATTTTCAGCACCATTCTCAAGAATATGGTTTTCGAAATCCCCTCCGTTCGACGATTTATTTTTTTCTGGTTCTTCAGACGACTCCAATTCGTTTATTAAGGTTTCGATATCTTCTTCTGCAGAAAAATTGCCAATTTCATCGAAAGAAATGCCAACAGAAGCTAGTCCCACTCTTGCTGGACATCCAAACATGGCTTCGTATGGTGATCTACCTATTCCTTAAATTAGTACAATAATTAAAATTGATTATTTTGGTTTTTTGATACTGCGATAATTTTAAAATAATATAGATACTGCGATAATTATAATTTAGTTACTAACCTGAATGAAGTGCTCGATTTTTTTTTTAAATTGAATAAATTTTATTCCAGAAGGCCAATCTGCAGTTTGATTTTCATCCATCCATGCCCCTAACATTCCTTCTATATCCCTGTTTGCTCGCTCAACTGACCCCTGACTTTGGCTGTGTCTGGGTTTTCCGTGAACAATTTTTACTTCCCGCCACATAGTGTGTAATTTGGTTAAAACTGAGTTAACGAATTCTCGCCCATTATCGGAATGTAAAATAAGAGGTGCATCAAACGTTGTGTAAATTTCCAACAAGTTTAGTGCAATTTCTTCAGCCTTTTTCGTTTTTAAAGGTTTCAAGATTACGAATGTCGTAAGATGGTCTTGGTATACCATTATAAATCTAAAATCATAATTTTGTGACCGCGTGTCAATCAAATCGATTTGAGCGCGTGAATTAAATTTTGAATGCAAAATTGCCTTCGAAACCAAACCTTTTCTTGGGTTACTACTCTTTTTCTGACACTGCACACAAAGTCGTAGATAAACCATTATTGTTTCCTTAGTGACATTACAATAAAGTTTATTTATTTCGGAAACCATACGATTGCGTCCACGATGCCCAATTGCTAAGTGCGCATTATGAATTATATCAAATAATTCATCAGTTGTAGCATAATAAAATACTTTAGACTGAGCGTTTTCGTCAACTGGCATAATCATTCGCTCTTTACCGCTTATTGTAATTACATCATATTTACAAACCATTCTATAGTGCTTTGTTGATTTTTTAGCGCCCGGTGTTCTTAAAACATTTTTCGCTTCTTTAATTTCACTTATTCGGCTATTATATTCATCACAGTTTAAAAATGATTTATTGTCGACACGTTTTGACCCAGCTATTGAGTTTATATGATTATTAAAACGAATACGCACATCGTTGATATCCATGATAACACTTTTTACTTAAATTTACTACGAGTAGACGAGTACCTAATTTCAGCACGAGACCAGAAATGAAGTAAACAATACACATAACCTAGCTTTTACTCAAAATGTCAACATTGACCGATTAACAACGGGCAATGTCGACATTGTCCGGACAACGATAGAATTGGTATAATGAATTTAAAATGATCATCAATGTCCAGTTTCTACGGACAATAACGGTAATATCCGGCCGTTGTCGACAATGACCAATTCAACAGGCCATTGTCGATATTGAAAGGCCAATAACGTTATTGATCGGATTTACGTTATTGTCCGTAACATATATCGCTGGTGTAATTCTAATACCTCGTATCCCAGAAAACATAACTTTTCAGGGGAGTTAAAAAACGTTCTTATGCTAAAAAAACTGAATGATTGCTTCGTACTTTTGCTCATTTGGATTATTGAGTTCAATCAATTATTTATTTTTGATTTTTTTGTAAATGAATGTGATTAATTAACTAGAAGTTGGGTTACGAGTTATTGAATAAAAAAAGTTGCAAAAAACTGTGGCTTACGAGTTATTTATGTTCTGT